GCTGACTTATCACGTGGAAACCTGCATATTTTTGAAATAATCACAAAAAAAAAATAATTCGAAGATATGTGAAGTCTCTGTATAGAGGAGGCCTTTGCCAATGGGACATGTATAGGCTGTTACTTTATTTTACTACTTTTGCACAAAACTTTTAGTGACAATTAACATCCGATTTATTCGTAACTTTTACAAGCGATACGGACTTGAAATTACTGTGGTAGGGCCACGCGACAGTCTTCGCTGTTGCACGACCGGGCAGTTCCGTAGTACCACGACCTCATAAGAGACCGGCGTGAAGTAGAAACATTATACTTCTGCTACTCTACTATTAAGATGGCAACGCAACCCGACGTGTTGTGCAGGTGTCTACGGCCAGCGGTTTCACTTAATATCAGGTGAAATGCCAGCCCGCTAGCCACCTCCACATAAACGAAAATTACATTACTCGTAAGCGCTTGATTTATTGATCTGCAAAACGAAACGCTCCAAAAATATTATTTCACGCTCGAGCCGATGCGAACACACGAAGAGTCGGGCCCACCTACGTTTTCATTTTCAATCCGCTTGATTTGCGGCCCAAGTTATGATTCCGTTGCCCAATGAGGCAATGCGGGCCGAACGGTCCACGGCACAGGCTCAGCGACGCGAATCGCTTATTAAAATATACATTCGTACGTATGAGTTGAAGAAAGCATTAGGAAATTTATTGCTACTCAGACACGTATTAAGATTTTTTATAAATATTTTTAACGTCACGCTTGAAAATTGTTTGTTTGTTTATTTATCGAGACTTGTTAATTACGTTTGTGCAGTAAATCTCATGGATTTCTCTATGGAAGTGAGGTTTTTTCAGGTCTTTTCAATTTTCCATCTAATAACGATATCCCGAATAGATATTTCGATCAAACGTTGAACAATTTAAATCAAAACGTGCTTTCGCCATCGGATATAAAAGGAACTAAAACCCCCTAATGATTTAATTAGCATTCGCTCGTAACTCGAACCGTAGACGAACGGAAGAAAATCACGAAACGATCTCGGGGGCAACAAAATAAATTGTCCCTACGTCTCGCGGGGATTGTTTTTAAATTTCGTTACGTCAACTTGTCGCGAACAGATCCGTGTGAGACGGGTGTATGCGGAGTCGCCCGGAGTGCGAGGAAACGGAGCACTTACTTCGGCCGTCGCGGGTTGAGCTGATATTGTAATGGCAGTACTCGCGTTTCAGTAGTTGTGCTTTCGGCAACGGCTCGGTGCAAGTGACGGGGCCAAATCAAATTTCTGTTCGTGCTTCTGCGAGATTGCATGGAACACTACGTAACCAGGCGCCCCAGGGTAGGGAGGAATAACCAAATACACTTTTCGTCGTGCATGAGAAGTGAGTGATTCGTAGTTATCCTAATACGAAAATAATTTAACAGTTATCATAAATAGTATAGTCCACAAGTGCTTTTTGTTCGGAAATCTGAACAAATTTTGCATGTCTAGTCAAGAACTGCATTTTCTTTTAACTTCATTACTTTGAACAGTTCTTGACTAGACTAAATACCCAACAAAGTAAGAATGCTCGAAAAATTATTCTGCTACAAAATTCTCGAAAAACGCTCCAGAATAACGATTTACTTAACCACCTTGCCGCGATAAAGAAGTATCACCCAACGCAATCGCACACAATCGGCGGAGTGACTGATAATCTCGGAAAATTGAGAGAACTGATGGAAAAAGTTTGAACGTCACCTTGGCAAATTCACGGGTGCTTTATGGGGAGGTGGGGGGCAGGAGCAGGGGCAGGGGGGAGCGGTAGGTTTTTCCGGCGACAAAATCGGTTGGGTAATGAGATCGACGATAAGGCCCTGATGATCGGGTACAATAGCGTCGACCAGTTGAGTAACACAGTTTTGATGACTCCGCGGCGCAGTTGCCACGGTATTGGCTTCGGCGCCGAGGGTCGTGGCTTCGATTTTCACGCCACCACTGTTTGTGTCACATACAGTTATTGTTTCGGATCTGGGTGCTTGCCCACGTGAAATTTATGTATGTGAAACGTCCTTACACAGGGTAACGTTAACCCACAGTAAGGGCAATTGCATTAAATACCGATACCACTTATGTTTCACAAGTTGTTCATATCCATTGATTCCAGAACACCTAACGTAGTTTAAAGTTGTTGTAGTCAACACAACTAAAACAGCGATATTTGGACCGGGGTACCGGAATAATTTATGTGTGTTCTGAAAGTGGACACGTAACCGTTGCCTCTTTGTTGGACAGTGTATTTTACGGACATTGACTCGCTTTTTACTCTGTCATATGCTAGTCAGTAAAAGGTTGTTATCACAAATGTCTTCGTATTACTATATATATTTAGGGTTTATTTATTTTATTTGAGGATAAATGAGACCGTAGTCTGGCGTAAATTAGGCCGTTTTACAAGTGAGTAATCCGTGATGCGGAAATCTGTGACCACAGATCATGCTACCTGACCACTAGGCCCTGATTCCTTATATTTTCAAACCGACTTCAAAAAAGGAGAGGTTTTCAATTGGACTGTATTTTTTTATGTTTGTCACCTCAGAACTTTCGACGGGGAGAACCGAATTTGATGATTCTTTTTTATTTGAAAGCTGGTGCTTCCCATGTGGTTCCATATTGATTTCATTGGTATTGGATCTTGGGCTCCGGAGATACGTAGGGAACTCCTGAAAATCAATTATAAAATGAATACAGAGCGAGACATTTCAAGTCGGTTTTGTTTTTCGTTAATAAAAATATTTGATTAATAAATGTCACTTATAAAATAGATCATCAAACATTTATATTAACAGCACATTAGCTTTTAACAATAACGAACGGCTGATTGTTTTTAAACAGCGCCAATAACAATAAATTGTGTCGCACCCTAAACTTTTCTGCCGACTTCTTCCGCCATGTTTCGTCTAAGATGCACCCTCTAATTATTTTCGTCTAAGAATTAAGGGAGCAACTGACACGCACTCACTTGCTACACACCTACCTTGGAAAGAAGAAAGGAACGAAGTTAAGTATGATTTTTTCTAATTCTTTTTTCCTTTTTTATTAAAAAAAGATACCCTTAATATACAGGGTGGCTTTTCTAAGTGTATCCATTTTTTTTATTACATTCTAGACATAAATAATGTTATATAAAAATGATAAATATTTAAAATCACTCGTAAGTAATTAATTACATTCATTTGAACTTATCTCAAAAAGTGCGTGATTTATATGCAACTCATATTACGCGCGATCGTTCATAACTAACACGCAGACAAGTTCGTGCACCGCATTGTCAACACGTTCTGTTTTTTAGAGAATAGAACACAGCATTTTTTTGGAAAAAAAACTTTGTTTTTTATATCAATAAACGATTATGCTACCCAGTCTGAACCTCCTGGGTAAATTTGGGCACTTCTCAAAAAATCTCCCTGTATAATAACATATTGTTGTGGTGTAAGAACGTTTTAAAAACGTAAATTTAACGTGAACAAGCACCTAAATTCGAAACATTATCTTAGGGTCACACAAACAGTTGTCTCGTGTGGACATCGAGCCAACGACATCGGCGCCACAGCCAATTCCTTGGTAACTGCGACACAGTGTCATCATCGAAGCGAATATTTTTTATGTTAATTTTATTAAAAAAAATAATTTATAAAACTTTTTGTTATACATAGGCAATGGTGGCCTAATGTCTTAAATACAGGTGGTGCGTTGTTAAATCGCGTATTTGATGTCTAGTCGCGTGCAAAAGAAAGAAAGTAGAAAAAGTTTCAATACTTAAAATTTACTCTTTCGTGAAACTTCCATCACCAGCCTCACCAAAAACAACGACAGGCCTTTTCTTTCTTGTCAGATGTTTGAATCAGCATCACGGTGACGAATCCTGCGTTCGTGCCGCACTCATGACAAGTGCATGCTCTACCTCTCCCTCTCATATGCGAGAATGGGAGACCTGCTCGTGGCTTTCTCTTGAAACGCATGAGCCGCCACCAGACTAACCGTACCTCTCTTAAACAGCAGCAGCGTAGCGCCACCACAGTGTATAATAATAGCGATTATCAAAGCACAATGTTTAAACAGTCCAACGCTGACATCGCTGCTCTGTGGCCGGCAGCGCTACCCTCTACACGTAGATTGGACAGCAAACAATGCCACGTCGGGCCACTCGCTTCATCCAGCCTAAAACTAATATTGTTGATTGTTACACAGTGTACAGGCGGTCGCGGCCCAAGGGCAATGCAGTAAACACCTTACTACGACGACATAAGTCCGATATTCGCTTCTAATTCAGCTTGATCGCTTTGCTATACATACCAACGATGACTGGTTGTGCTCTTCAAGCTAACACCGTATGTCATAACGCAGGTAGGTAAAGTTTGGTGCCAAAACAAACTAAGTACATACATAAAAAAGTAAGTAAAACATAAAAATATAATGGTTAATCTAGTACAACAAAAAACTACAATACTTCCTTGTGTTAAAATAAAGAAAGAAAGCAATTAATAGTAAAGATAAACACCATGAAATTATAACGTCTAAAATATTCCAATTCACACACAATTCCCAAAAAAAAGAAAGAAATGAAATAGGAAAAAGACTTAAGGAAACAATTAGAAATAAATAACTTAAAAAGTTGATAAGTTTTGTTTTCCCAAACAGCTTTCTTTCCAGGCCAGTGTTCCTTTGATTGAAACAAAGCCACGATTTAAAACAATAGCTATAAGGAAACCCTGTAGAAACCCCACAGATATTTCTCCGATGCACGTTTAGATACACACAACGGAAGGAATACACTTCAAAATAAAAACGATCGATTGTAGAGCTTCAGGGGCAAGGAAACGGGAGACGGTACGCGGTTGCGGAACACTTTATTGAATCACAACCACTTACGTCTCCGGCTGGGAACGAGGCACAAAAAGGACCGAGAGCATACACACAGGTACACGGCAGTGGCAAGACTAGAAGAGCCCTCTACGACGTACCTTTGAAGCGGATCTTTTTTAGAAATTGCTTAGCGAGCCGAGGCTTCATGCGCCCCGCGCGTCCTGCAAACGTTGAATCGTGTTTAATGGCACTTTAAAAAGTATGAGGAAGGAGACTTACATGAAAGGAGACTACTTAAAATTTAATGTGATCATCAATAATCGATTCACGTAAATTGATTTGAACAATAGACAGCTCTTGGTAAAATATTGACATGAATCTCTGATGTGTTACTGTTACATTATATACAATTTTTAGGACTTAGAAGGCTTTTTTATACTATTTTATGTTCTCATCTAATCCATTTAATACTGAGTATATTGCCGACTGTTTGTTTTCTGAATCTTGATTGTACAGTAGCATATTTTGGAAACCTCGAGGTTGTACCGATCATATTTTGCACATTAGGTGGGAAACAATGAGACGCTTAAGAGGACGCTGTTCGAATCAATCAATATTAGATAAAATTAAATATCAATATGTCTTCATTAGCAAATGTAGCTTAGCTTTAGATTTTAAAACTTAACGATCAATCAGCATAAATACCTATAGAACTGTACATACTAACTGATGTTTAAAACATAAAATAAGTACTACACAACGCACATGAAATCCGCATTAAATACTCGCTAAATTGACAAATGATGTATTAATAAACTGGCGACGTTAAATTTCCACTTAATTGAATATGGAATACGACTTAAATTAGCAATTAGCGCAGAAATGAGACACTGAATGGGATGAAAATGACCTAATAAAGAATGTTATTACATGACTATTCGTTATAATGTTCCTCATCATAAGAAGGAGTCGATCTTTATTTATGAACTTCATATTAGATGTATGCCTCTCATATCTTTCGTTTAGGGGGAGAATGCGATGTTTAAATTGTTAGTATTTATCTTGGCTTCATAAATGCGCATTATTTATAAAGACTTCTGAAATGATCCACCAAAATAATTGCGAGAAAATGAAAAAAATGTAATAATTTCGGTAAGTTGCATTGTTTTTTATATTGTGCCCAATTGAACATACTTGGTTCAACACATTAATTTACCTTTGTTTTTATTTCGTTACAAATAATGTTTAGAAACGTCTATATTATACAGCGTGTCATTACCATCGCGACAATAAATGAACACACGTACTAACGCTACTTGCCAATAATCATAAAAAAATATTAACGTTAAACAAAATCCATAATTTAAAAAAAATATTTTTCAAACAAACTAATTAAGTAAAAAATAAACAAGATTTGTAACAGCCTATACAACTCGCGCCACAGCGTCGCATTACAAGCCTCTCCTTCTAACAGTATGTTTTGTCTCTTTTAAATTCATTCAACCCATTCATATGCTTTGTGACCTTTACAAATGAACTTTACGTTACGCTTTTATAGGTAAGGGTGTTCTAAAATTCTTGGTTTTGGAAAATTTAATAACTCTGTAAATATCGATGTTTAAAGAACTTAAATGTTTAACACAACTTTAAAAAGTTATCCCCTATATGTGTGTTCATTTATTGTCGCGATGGTAACGACACGCTGTATAACATGTTTGATCATTTGTAGGTATGAAATTTGCATTCGGTTCAAACAGTAGCCCGAGATAACAGTGATACCAGGACGCTTGACATTTCAGTAAAGTCCCTGACCATTCGAAACGTTGCGAGTTTAAAATAGAAATAAACCACGATAAAATCCCTAATTTACTTTTGCTAAATTAAAGATGGCATTAGTTGTGATCACATTAAAAGAAAAGAAAGAAGCATCCGACAACTTTGACAAATTACATCTAAGACAAATTTGACTAAGTTAGTCATCCTTTGACTTGGATGAACTGTCAAACAATGAGGATAATTCCTTTATCCGCCCTCGTTTCACTCGAAAAACGTCTATTCGATTAGGCATTTGGACGACAAAAGACTTTTTTCGGGAGGCTCTACGATTCGAACGCCGACATAAAATTGTTATTCAATGCCTGAGCAGTTGTACCTTTTACTGTCGTTCTGTTTGCTGCATACATAATAAAAAGCTTACCTGCCGTTTATAAGCAAAGCACAAATTTTAAGGTACCTGCTTTTATATTGTTTAAAGTAATAAAACATTATATTATTGCTATAACTTCGTTGCGCAGTTGCCAAGGTTATGGCTTCGGCGACGGGGTTGGATTCTCACAAAGGAGAACAATTTGTGACCCACTATAATTTTTATTTTATTTTAAGGAGTTTCCTGACGTATCTCCGGAGTCTACGGTGCAGTACAATTAAATTTTATCCCATAATAACTTCCTCCTTGGGAATTAAACAGAAACCAATGCAAAAAGAATTCTCAAAATGGGTTTATAAGTCGATTGCAAAGCCAATATGACAGCAATAGCGCTTCCTTACGGCAGAAGAAAAACATTACGATGTATATCGATGTAAGAAAAATGTGGCGAATGTCAATCGTTTGACAACTGAGGATCGAACAAGAACATTTCTCATTCAATTAAAGCCAGACACTGTGGCGAGATTGTTTGAACAATGGAAGATGATTTATTACGTAACACTTATAAATGTGCGCGTGAATACACCTAGCGTGTGAGAAGTGGAAGGGATAAATTAATTGAAACGCATTAGTTTTGAACAGGAACGAGTGTGTGATATCTTACAATTTAATGAAAATATAAAAGAGAACAAAGATGTGGAATAGCATTGTGATGTTGCAAGAGTATTGCGAAGGCACCGGCTACAATAATAACCAAAGATGTATGGAACTAAACACTTTAGATATGACCACAGGTTCGTGTTTAAAAAATTATATTGAATCGTCGGAAAAAGTATGTAAAAAGGGTATAATAAAAACACAGATAGTCCTCCTGTACATAGAGATAAGTTCTCTATATACCAGATTTCTGTTGAGCTGTAGTAGACTGTGGTCAGGCTAAACAACAGAAGCCTCGTTGCACAGTCTGTACATTATCTATAAAACATTAGAATAAACATGAATAGGTATCGTAAACATTTATATGTGTAAAACCCCGTCAAAATTTAGAAACACGCCTGGTTTCTGAAACACTGATAATCGTAGAAGTTAACTAATCAGTTGTCAAATAGCTTTTCAAATCTTTTTTGAGTTGACAAAAGGATTGTTAAACTCTTTGGATTGATCATTCTGATCATTAAGAGGATAATTGTGATCAATTCAGAGAATTAAACCATCCTTTTGGCAACTCAAATAAAATTCAAAAATCCGTTTGACTGCTGATTAGTTAACTTCTGCGAGGATCCGTGTTTCAGGACCGGGCGTTAATGTGTTCCACATAAAGGAGTAACCTTCCACGGTTTTACAGCTCGAAATAAATTGACTCGCCGCGAACTATCTCCTTTTACAAAATAAAAATACATAACGCCAACTCATGATATTTAAAAGGTGAGGTGCTTAGATAACACATTAGTTAAGGCGCAGATAACGAAACTTACCGAACGACGGGAATACAAAGTTTGATGTATTTTTCTTATTTTTCTTTTACAAAAATTGTTGAATAAAACTAAGTAACGAAATAAACATTGAAACAGACCTCTTTTTTCCCACCATAGTGGATTCTACAGCAGCCTCAGGATTCGTAAGTAAATCAATAACAAAATCTTATAAAATTGAAATGAAATCTTGATTCGACTATTTTTGAATGGCGTTTCAAGTTGCTTTTATGTTTGACGAGAAAAATTCCTCGTTTCAATAATTTGTATTTTATATTATAACGAACTATAATTTGCAGCTTGCATTACTTGGACACATTGACAGACAACATCCAATATTGTGGAAGACTTAGAGAGCCTTCTTTTTAACAGATTAAAAAAAACGAAGAGGTTTTAATGTTAGACTGTATATATATTTTTTATGTATGTTCATCGATTTCGAATTGTTGATCTATTTTGAAAAAAAAAATTTATTTGATATGGTATCACCTCACCGTGTTCCTTAATTATTTTCACTGGTATTGAAACCTGGACATAGAGATACATCAGATAACTCGTCAAAATTAAGTGAGATATTTGAAGTCAGTTATATTTTTCGTTAATAAAAACGTTTTACTTGTCTCTTTGTCTTCTCCAGTTGGCTTGAGAGTTGGATCAGAGCAACAAGCATTACCCAAATAGCCTCTATATTGTCATGGCACATAGAAGGAAAAGCTTCACAACCCCCGTTTAGAGAATTAGCCACCTCTCAAAGGCTCGCAACCCACACATTGATACACAAAAATTTAGATTAAAGCCTTGTAAATGATTATATTATCAGTGCATATACATTATGTTACGTCCACGAGAACTGCTACCGACAAAATGTAGTACAGTTTGGCAGATCGTGTTTCATCACTACTTACTTTTTCATTAAAATAATTTAAAAAAAACAAATAGCTCTCTCATTACTTTAGATCATATACAGCAGGGCCATTAAACCTCATCGGACGTGTAGCTGAAAGCTTACGCCGTTACGTCCGACGATAATATGAGGCAAGTAGAGAAAAGTGATATCGTTTACTTATTCATCGAGCCTGTGGCAGGTTACCTTACGCACTTGGGGCTTAATTGCACGACTGCTGTCCTAATGGAGCCACGCTCCCATCCCACACACTCAAACCGATCGGAAGTGGACGGACTCGTAGCGAAACGAATTGACGGACTTTTAGACAACCTTATCTGATCAATTTTAGGAAAAATCCTAAAATTGATCAGATAAGGCTACGCCTGGCTACGGACACATCGACTATACCAAAGACATGTATCAGAGCTAGTCAGTAACTTTGAGTTTCTTTTTTTTAAAAGATTGCCCTTAATGTAACATAACATCACCCTGTGCTGTAAGGACGATTTACATACATAAATTTCATTCGAAATTATCTGTGGGTCACACGAGTAATTGCTTCGTGGGGTAATCGAACCCACGACCCTCGGCGCCGAAGCCAATAGCTTGGCAACTCCGCCACGGAGCCATCGCGCATACTTGGAAGCGTACGATATATTCATTAAATTATTTTTTTATTTGGATAATTTTCGCAAGGAGGTAGTCTCAAATCGTTCTATATTCAACAGCGACATCGTATGCCATTAGTAAGCAGTAGATCTACGGTGGAACGGAAGTTATAACAAAGACGGTAATGACAAAAGGTATTTGTTGCTTGATGAGGGATTAATATCGCCACAATCGCACAATATAAGGCCTGCTAAGGGGTGACGGATAAAGGAGATTGTCTCTAGTGATTAGCAGGCCTGAAGCAAATTTGAATACATTGTGCTGTGTACTAATTATTGAGAAAACTTAATTTGAGAGACTTTAAATAAGAGGAAATGGCCTATTACAGAGGAGAACGCTTACCGTTTACAGCTTAATCGTCAGTTAAGTTTAGTTTTTCATTAAAGAAATACAAATTTTAAAACCTCTATAACTACATCGATTAAAGGTGAAAGAAAATACTGCTGGAGACTGTGATTTTGACTCGTCGTCTTTATTTATTTAAACCTTAAATGTCATTTAGCTTCGAGCATCAAAGTATTTTAATCTCATAGGGTATTTGAAATTTG